AGACATCAGGTACGCAGCACTGGGCAAATGTGAGGCACCGGTAGGCGTGGGTCAGTGCCGGTCAGGCGAGCTATATATGAACGATACGATGACTTGTGGCACACATTTCCCGGACATATGCGGCTGTCCTGACGTCCAGATACGGCCCGAACAGTGCGCTCCCAACCGGTGTCAGTGCCCGCCCGGCCTATGGCGCCGGTTAGGCGATTGTGCGTGCGTTACGTCCGATAAGTGCGATCAGTGCGCCGATTATGGTATTAATAAGAGCTTAATGGTAGACATGGTGTAGATTTTGATCATGACCATTTGATTTTATTAATGAAATTAATTGTTTAATGATCAACAACTTTGTGGTAAATAAAACATAATGTTTAAATAATTTTATTAAGTTCAGTTTGCGTTTATGATACCAGATGATTATTTATTATATTAATGTTTAATGAAAAAAAATACTAATTTATATTTTGTAATTATTAAAATGCACTATATCTATTATTGTATTTGATAAAAATAAAATACTTCGCTTCGGTCATTCGCCAAATAATAAAATATAATCTTAATTACTATTGATTTTAAATGTTATAAAATTAATATTACAGTCTAACTACTTTGAATGAACATGAATTAAATTTTAAAAATAAAATTAATTATATAAAAGTTATAAAACTATAAGTAAAATGTTATAAAATATAAAATATTTATTTATATATTTTATTATATTTTAATTGACATAAAGACTATCATCACCTTAATTTTTGTAAACTGAATATAAATTACCTATAGCCAAAATTATTGTGTTTTTATTTATAATTATAACTTTAATAATAGTTGCTGGCTAAAATTAACAGATTATAATTTTTTTAGTAAGTTATATTCAACAATATTAGTTTTTATAACTTTTTTGATAAATTAATGTTGTAGAAAATCATTATAAAAAACAGGAATACAAACAATTAATTTTTCCAATAAATAATTAATAACATTTATTAACAATTAATAACAATTAATCATTTATTTTCTATTAATTTATCTCAATTTATAAATTAATTTTCTGTATTATTATTAATCATGATTAAATTTAATAAATTCCAACTCTATCAGATTTAATGTAGAATAAAATATATAAATATTTTAAAATAAAAATGTATACATGTAATTTTTATTATAAAGCTACCTTAAAACTATTTCCTTAATCATTTGTTAAATTTAATAAATAAAATAATTATTTTATAATATTTTATTTATCAAATGAGCTGTAATACATAAAACAGAAAAACATTTTGTACATAATAAAATTTCACTATAATTAGTAATTGGATCCTATACCATTCTCTTTTTCTCATTTTAAAATATTTAATACAAAGTATTTTAATAAAACATGTGTTTAATAAACCAATTAACCTAATATTCTTAATTATTAATTATATTTATGGCATGTAAAAAATTATATATTAAAAATTTTACAGCAACCTAATTTTCAATAAAGTTAATATAATAGAAACATGTCAATAATTACATAAAATGTTAATTTCGTATATATTTTAAACAACATTAAAAATAAAATAATTTAATCTAGATGTTTATTAAAATATAATGTTGACAATAGTTAATTCGGTGTTTGTTTTATTATTAATCTCAAGATGTTACTGTGACGGCAGCAGGGAATTAAGCAATAGCGAGTCATTTACATTAAGTAAGTTATTTTAATTAAGTTTAAACATTAGCTATCTGAAAGTTATAGTAAGTATAGTCAATACCGGTATTTATTAATTTACTGCGAGACCGTGGCTAGTTTTGTTTAATTTATATAAACTGTCATTAATAATTTAATGTGGAAATGTTATTATGTTTTTAATTGATTGGTTTAATTAAAGGATCGCACACAAAGACCTGCTATTTTTAAAATTGTTAATAATTAATAAATAATTAAATAAAAATAATTAATTTTTTATCTTAAATGCATCTCTGTTGCTTAGGTTGTTATAATTTTAATTAATATAATTATGCATTTTTAAAACTTTATTAATTTAATTGTACTAGACTTAACGCCCGTTACGTATACCACCCAAAGTCAAACATCATGTTTCCACTGCGACCCGGATGCAAATATGACCGGCATGTTTGCCATACACAATACACAGCTTAATATATCGTGCAATTCGGTACGATTTGAGCACCGGTACGTTGCCTACAACATCACTTACCTGGGTTATCCGGAAATATTAAAAACTAATTACGCACCATCTTATTTTATTGATTTAAATGGTATAATTTATATTGCAATATACCAAAATTATTTACTTATATTTTATTAATTAACTAGGTAATTCTATATTTTTATTGCGTGGCAAAATACCTCGTGGTATTTGCGCAGGTGGTACATTTCAGTTACTAGAGTTTTTTGCTGTCCAAGATCATAATGGATGTACATCGCAAAAGGGCCTTGACAGAAAAATGTCTGTTCACTCGGCGATACAAATTGATGGTGGTAATTGCGCCGGCAAGTGTACCGGTAAAAGTACCATCACATATGATCCACCCGTGCGAAATGTACTTGTATGGTGATTAGCTTATTTGTAATTGTATTAATTATTGTTAAAATTGGTTATAACTATTAATATTATATAAATCATAAATAAAAATACAATAAATAAAAACATACAATTAAAATTTAATTAAAAACTGTTAAAAATTTTATAGCAGTGTTTTTTAATTATTCAATTTAAAAGTTATGGCTAATAAATGGAAAATCGGTGATACCTTATAATTAAAAATACATTATAAATATTTTAAGTTTATAAATTAATAAACTGCTAAAATTTTATATCGGTTGTTAAAATTATTTTATTGAATAGTTATGGCTAATAAGTGGCAACTCTCAGAATATGTCTTTTAATTTGTTTAACATGCATCAACTTTAATAATGACATAATCTAGTGTAAAATTATTATGTTAACAATAATTGTATTTACAAATTGGCTGCTTATAACCTATTTATTAATTTATCATGTAAAATTTTTTCAGGAATTGTTTTACCAAAAATATTATCATACAATTATATTATTTATTCTAATTATACATTATTCAAACAACCATGTTATACTTATTTTACAAACAAATATAATTATTATCAAAATGACAACAAAAGCAATAAGATAACAAGTGCGGTTAAAATACAATATTTTTGTATCTTACAAATTGATCATCACATTTATGGTCTCATTATTATTCAATTTTAAATTTGAATACCATAACAAAACTAAATTATTTAGTTAATTAATGATATGAATTACAGAATTTATAAAATTTTATATAAAGACATCTTTAAAATCAAAACTGCATTTATAAGCTAACAAATCAGTATAAATATAAGTTATTGTTCATATTTATTGTGATTCTAGACAAATGCTCACCCGGATAAATTAAGTATACCTATTCCAGGAAACGACCGAGCTCAATTCAATTACCAGCTCGGCAATTGTCCTAGTTGATTATGAGTAATTTAATTGCGCGAGTTATTTGAATCGTGGCAAATTTAATGCCCCGCCGATTGCGTTGCCCGGCAGTAACTCCGATAGCCGTGTTGTGCAGTAATAGTTTGCTTAAATATTGGTATAAATTGACCATGATAATTCTTTTATAAACGTAATTAATTAAAAAATCATATATTTGTTTAGTTATAATTAACTGTAATGAAATCAGTAAATATTATATAATTATAATGTTAGAAACTATTTTATTTATCAATTGGTACCAAATTGAACGTCGTTAATTTTTTTTGGCAAACGAGCTAACACAAGTAACTTAAACTATGATCTATCTGTGCAAAATTTAATTGCATTGTAATTTAATTATATATAATCAACTAACTCAAATTTTCAGTTAAATAATTAATTACTAAACCAAATGATTATTTATGGTATTGCTCGGCAACGTAGTTCCTTTTAGGAACTTGAAGTAGAAAAGCCAATTGTCATAAACAACATTAAAATTATGTTTTATTATTTTACACTAGTAATTTAATTAAAACATTAAGATAACAAAATACTTGTTTGAATTCATATACGGATATACAAGGAGTGAGAGGGGTTGAGAATATTATAAACTTGATAAAATAACGTAACGTTATATATGAAGGGTTCAATGCATTGATATTTTGGGAAAACCATACGATAGCTATCGTATGGATTGACTGCATTTGTATTTTTGTGCCATTTTTTTAATTAATTGTTTTAATTAAATAACATTTGGATTGTTTGGCCGTTCAGAACTATTAGGTTGACCTTCACGTGGTGTTTCTTGTTTAATACTAACAAACCTAAATTTATTTACTGACTGTTGCGCCACCTATTTATGACACACTGTGAATCTGTATATGTGATATGCTAAAAAAGGTTGCCGAGCAATACACTATATAGTAGTATAAATATAAAGGGTTTACTTTATTAGGCTTGAAATAATTTCAAATTATATAATAACTGATCATGCAAAATTTTATGATTAATTAGCAAATTTTGTAAAATAAGTTTAAAATAAATTATATGCAAAAGTCATTGAAATGTACAAAACATAAGATCAGTTTTTTGCAAATAATTATAGTTTTGTTGATAACAAGATATATCGATAATAATACAATCGTTTTTATTCATATTTATTTAAATATAAATAATAAATGTATTATAAATATAAAAAGTAAAAGTTTTAGCGTAACAAAAACAGCATATCCTTGAATTCATTGGTATATAAAAGTAATTTATTTATAATAAAAATTTTGCATACATTTGATTATATTTCGACTCCATATTAAATACTTACATATTTAAATATTTAACTAGTTGCTATAAACATTTTACATGTAACAATGAGCGAGAGTTTTCAGGAAACAGACTTATCTATGATTGAGATAATCAAAGGCCAGACACCGGAAGACATACGGGAAAAGTGTCACCATTTGTGTCAACAATATTTGGGAGGCGTTTGGAGTGATGTCCGCATTAATGATATGAACGTCCGGCGAATTAGCGGTGGTTTTTCCAACCAATTATATCACTGCCAACTGTCGGACAGCACTGTACCGGTCGGCGCAGACAACGAGCCCCGGGATGTGGCCGTCAGACTGTTTGGCGAAAAGAATCTCAATACTGAGTTCGCGGGCGCCGGGCGTCACACCGACGCTATTGTCGGCCCGCTTATGGGTAAACACGGTTTGGGCCCAAAAATCTACGGTTCGTTCCCTTCCGGAGAGATTCAACAGTTTGTAAAAGTATGTGTCTTTTGGTCTATAGATTATGTATAGACATTACTACACCCTTACTGTCATTATATAACCTATGGGTTAATAATAAAACTATAAAACAAATATAGTAATATTAGCGCGTTTTTTATATGCTATTCCAAAGCACAGGCAGTTTAGAGTCAATGAACAAAGAGATCCAAAACTTGTTAAAGAATTGGCCCAAAAGTTGGCAAAATTTCATTCATTAAATCCGTCAGAGATAAGTGAGACTAACAATTGGTTACTGAAAACCATCGATAACTCAATGGAAAAGGCATACGAAAAGTTCCCAATCGATCGACTGATAGAGGAACTAAAGTTAGATGTGTTAAACACCGAGAGTCTGAACCGTGAACTTCACTGGTTATACAAATGCATGGATGAAACGGATTCACCGGTTTGTTTCGTTCATAACGACTTCCGGGGCAATAACATCATGGTATTGGACGACACCGATCACAACTCAAACACCCGCACCGGACAGCGGGTGATGTTTTGCGACTTTGAGTGCTCCGGGTATGGATACCGGGGCACCGATTTGGGCACTATATTTGCCGAATGGAATCGCGACGGCTTTAATGACTATAAGACTGTCCAACAGTTTCCCGACGACATCGATGTTAAGCCGTTTATCAATGAATATATGGCGGAATCGATTCGCTTGAGAGGAGAGGCATTTTGTGGTGACCCGAGAAATACATTCACACATATTATGAAAGAGATTAAAGTGTTTACTTTGGTCTCCAATCTATTTATGATCGCTATATCGCTAGCGATGGACGAGTCCCCGGATGTGCCGCTGTATACCAAACGCAATCTTACGGTCAGTTCCAGTGCTTACTTTTAGTTTAGTAAATGTTTTATTAATTAAAATGTTTATATTTTTTGCCAATAGTTTGGAGCGAATCTTCTTTTCAAAAACTACTTGCATTTGAAAGCAATGTTTATCAACGATAAGACCATTGATTGTGATAGTTATGAATAATATGTGCATCAAATGCAAAATACTTGATATAATTGTTTTTGTTTGTTTTAAACCATTTTATTTGTTGACTATATTATGTTTTTGTTAAGCCTTTGTTAAAATTTTGTTAAAACTTCTGATAAAATTTTATATTTATTTTGAGTACAAAAAGTCATATAAAATATGACTATAAATTAAAGTGATAAACAAATTAATTTATCTTTATATAATATTGATTATATATTTAATATAATTTCTGTATTTTTACAGTTAATAAAAATATATTTACTTAAATAAATAGTTGAATACACCATTGAGAGGAACTTTCCCAACGATTATAAATTCATAAACAAAATTATTTAATAATTACTATTTATCATGAATTTGCATATCATTTAAAAATTAAAACTTATAATAATGTAATGTTGTGTTCATTTGAAGGACATTTCATTTGATTAATATTTACGACATTTTAGCGAAACTGGTTTTCAAATCTCATAACTATTATAAAAGTAAATAATTGATTGATTTTCCACTTAAAACACATACAATGAACTTACAATTTATAGTGAAATCAAGTTTTAAAAGAATTTTAAAATTGGAAAAATTTTAAGAAAATAATTTTGCAATTCCTGTAATTCATACCTTTTTAAAATTATAAAGCAGAGAGAGAGAGAGATGAGGTGGAGGCG